GGAAAAGGAAAAGGAAAAGGAAAAGGAAAAGGAAAAGGAAAAGGGAAAAGGAAAAGGAAAAGGAAAAGGAAAAGGAAAAGGAAAAGGAAAGGAAAGAAGCATAAAAGTAAAAAGACATCACCACCCCTGGATCCAGTTATGAGACTTAATCATTGCAATTTTGATGTCCATTGGTCAAAGTGATATCCACAGTCTTGTTTCCTTGGAGGTGAGGAAGCCCAGAAAACAGAGTTCAATGTTTAAGCTTATGTGGGAGTGCCCAGGGTACCTCTCCTGAGGGAGCAGTTTACAGTGACTGGTGCAACATTGTGGATAATGCACAGTCCTCTGATGCAAGGTCCCAGAAAGAGTCTGGGGACACTCTAGGCATCTTTGATGGTTTATTACACCTTTGATGGTTTATTACACCTTTGACGGTTTATTACACCTTTTAAGACATGACAGCTGCCTCTCACATCAGCATAGTTAAGCCAGTTATGCCCCATCAGAAGGGATTAGCACCCTCAAGATTATTGAATGTTGTGTGTGAGTGTCCCCATACCTTCCCTGGGGAGAAGAATTTTACAACTGAGCCAATAATTCACAGAATTCACAGAATAACCAGGTTGGAAGAGACCTTCCAGATCATTGAGTCCAACCCATACCCCAACACCTCAACTAAACTATGGCACCAAGTGCCACATCCAGGGATGGTGACTCCACACCTCCCCAGGGAGGCTATTCCAGTACTTTATCACCCTTTCTGTAAAAAACTTTTTCCTAATATCCAACCTGTATTTCCCCTGATGCAGCTTAAGGCTGTATCCTCTCATTCTGTCAGTTGCTGCTTGGAGAAAGAGACTGACCCTCCCCCCGCACCCCCCGACTACAACCACCTTTCAGGGAACTGTAGAGAGTGATAAGGTCACCTCTGAGTCTCCTCTTCACTAGCCTAAACACCCCCAGCTCCCTCAGCCATTCCTCACAGGGCTTGTGCTCCAAGCCCCTCTCCAGCCTCGTTGCCTCCTCTGGATGTGCTTAAAATGTCTCAACGTCCTTCCCAAACTGAGGGGCCCAGAACTGGACACAGCACTCAAGGTGTGCCCTCACCAGTGCCAAGGGCAGGGGAAGAATGACCTCCCTGCTCCTGCTGGCCACCCTGTTCCTGATACAGCATCTTGGCCTTCTTGGCCACCAGGGCACACTGCTGGTTCATGCTAACCAGTGCCCCCAGGTCCCCTTCTGCCTGGGCACTGTCCAGCCACACTGTCCCCAGGCTATAACATTGCAGGGGTTATTGTGGCCAAAATGCAGGACTTGGCACTTGGACTCATTAAACTTCATCCTATTGGACTCTGCCCATCTATCCAACCGTTCCAAGTCTCTCTGCAGAGCCCTCCAACCTTCCAACAGAAGGACACATGCTCCCAGCTCAGTAGTGTCTGCAAATTTACTGATGAAACTCTGAATGCCCTCATCCATGCCATCAATAAAAATATTGAACAGAACCAGAACTGGCCCAGCACAGAACCCTGAGGGACACCACTGGTGCCTGTCCCCAGCTGGATGCAGCACTGCTCACCAGCACACTCTGGGCTGGCCATGCAGTCAGTTCTGAACCCAGCAAGAGTGCTCCTGGCCCAGCCGTGGGCTGCAGCTTTTCCAGAAGTGTGCTGTGGGAGACAGAGCCAAAGGCCTTGCTGGAGTCCAAATAGACACATCCACAGCCTGTCCTGCAACCACCTGGTCATAAAAAGAGATCAGGTTGGTCCTAAACCCCTGCTGGCTGGGTCTGACACCCTGGCCATCCTGTAAGTGTGTATGATGACACTCAGTGTAAACTGTTCCATGACCTTACCAGGTACTGAGGTCAGGCTGACTGGTCTGTAATTACCAGGATCCTCCTTCCCACCCTTTCTGTGAATGGGTGTCACAATGGCCAGCTTCCAGTCATCTGGAACCTCCCCAGTGAGCGAGGATTGCTGGTAAATGATGGAGAGAGACTTGGCAAGCTCATCTGCCAGCTCCCCCATCACCCTGGGGTGGATCCCATCTGGTCCCATGGATTTATGAATATCCAAGCATCTCAGCAGTTCTCTGACTGCCTCCTCTTGGGTAACAGGGGGATCATTCTGCTCCCTGATACCATCAACCCACCCAAGAGGTCAGTTGTTCTGAAAGCAAGTCATCTTCCCACTGAAAACTGAGGCAAAGAAGGCGTTAAGCACCTCTGCCTTCTCTTCATCTGCAGTTAAGTTCCCTCCCACGTTTAATTAAGCACAAAGGTTGGTTTTACCCTTCCTTTTACCATTGATCTATTTGTAAAAACAATTTTTATTATCTTTTACAGAAGTCACCATTTTAAGTTGAGATTTGGTCTCCCTAATTTTTTTCCTACATGCTCTAGCAGCCACATTAAAAATTTCCTGAGAGACCTGATCCTCCTTCCAAAGATGATACATCCTCTTTTTATTCCTAAGTTCCTCCAGAACCTTCTTGCCCATCCATTTATCCATTTGACTCAGGTTCCCTTTAATTTCTAATTGGCAGCAGAAGATACTAGCATACTTCTTTTCAATGTAACATGTCTTTAATTCTAACTTTTCAAGTTAGTGACTGCACAGACAACATAAATCACCATTTGTTATGGTTAAATGGGTAGAGGTAGCAGACTATCTAATTTTACAGATGATATGGACTCATTCAACCTAGTCAACCCTAGTGCTTCCTGCAGATTGCACCAATCTGAAATTACTCTCTCATCCAGAAATTTCTCTGGATAATTTCTCATCTTTTAATCCTGCTATCCAGTGCTTATTCTTCCTTGGCAGCAGCCATTCCAATTTTGCCATTCCAAAGGTAAAAGCAGAACAAATAAATTTGTTTCCATCTTGTGAATAGCATCATTCAGTATTGATTTTGCTGATAGGAGATCTATAAATGAACATCAGGAAAGCACAGGTGAAGGAAACACTATTGGAACCAGGGATGTAATTTGACAAAGTTCTCTATAACCTTGCGTAGATGTGCTTGTGATCAAAATAGTCTGCTCACCAGCCAAAATCTGCCCACATATGATGCATTCTTCATATGTCCCTGTTATGTGTAATAAATATAATTTGCGGCATTCCTTGTATGAAATATGTAATATTGGATACTTGTTAGATTATGCCTGTTTGTATTAGTTCCCCCCACCCCTTGCAGGCAAGACTGGGTGTATATTGGAAACTGATTTACAAGTAAAAGGATGTAGCTCGGCCAGGAGATGGGCCATGTCCGGACTCCAGGTGTTGTGCTGATCATCGCATGAATGGCCCGAGATGGATATCATGGAAATCCTCAGTCAGATCTATGTGAATGCAGCCTTCCCATAAAATCTCATCAGGAATTCACCTACTCTGGACACTGAATTATTTCTCCTCATCACCAAAAAAGAAAATCTTATTAACCTGTGGCCTCTGAATAGAAGAAAAGACTGATTGCTGAAATCTTGGCCTCAGGCGGAATTTTCCCTATAAAAAAACTGCTTGTGCCAGGATGGAGGTGTGTGGGCATAGGGGAAGACCTCTGCTGAGGCTGGCTCCTTGTTTCACACCCAGGGCCAACCCCGGGCTTGGCTGGCTAGATAGAATTTGACCGCTAATAAAATTATTTTTATTTTTAATCTGGCTGAATAAGTTCTCATTTATAACATCCCTGATCTATTTCAGTCCTATCACATGGCTAGAGCCACAGAATCATCAAGACTGGAATAGACTTTTAAGACCATCTGTCAACATAGCACCATTTTAATCGCCCCTAAACCCACGTGCCACATCCAGCTGCCTCTTCAACACTTCTAGAGATGGTACCTCCACCACCTCCCTTGGTAGCTTATTCCAATGCTTAACCACTTCTGCAGTGAAAATAAAATTACTTATTTCTAATCTGGATCTCCCCTGGTACAACTTAAGTAATTTCCTCTCATCTTTCCACTTGAGACATGGCAGAAAAAACCAACTCCTGCCTCATTATGGTTTCCTTTCAGACAGATGTAGAGAACAATGAGCGTGGGCCTCCTTTTCTTCAGACTAAACAAGGCCAATTCCCCCAGATACCCTCAGAAGACCTTCACCAGCTTCATTGCCCTTCTCTGAACTCACTCCAGCACTAAAATGCCATTTTTTAAAGTGAGTAGCCCAAAACTGAACAATATGTGAGGTGTGGCCTTACCAGTTCTGAGTACAGGGGGACAGTCATTTTCCTAGTCCTACTGGCCACACTACTCTTGGTATCTGGGGTCTGGTAATTCAAAATTTGTAAACATTATAAGGGTTCATGGTGGGAAATAGAAAACTGCCCTAGTGTAAATAAACTTAAGACTGACACTAAGTCTACTCTCAGCACAAACTATAGTTCAATAAATACCTAAATCTACTAAAAATTAGTGCAAAAATTTTTGAGCTTTTTTTTTTTTTTAGTAATTTGACCATCCTCTTCTTAAATAACTTTTCAGATGTACTTAACTTCATGTATCATAATTAGTTCCACTGATTTCAGTAGCATCTCTCTCAGGTACAATTCAGATGCAACTTAGTATCCATCTAAGTAACTGCAAGGCTTTCATTTGTTTTTGTCAAATTACACCAAAACATCCACAGCTGACATAGGTAAACATGCTTGCATTACATGACACTTCTTACTTTGTCAAGGGCTGCATTTTCCAATTTGTCTTTTGCAACTGATAGTTTTTTCTCCAGATCTGTTAGCTGTTGTGTCTGTGGGGATCAAGAAAAAAAGCTGATGCAATCTCCAATGCATTTTTTCATGAGAGAGGAAAAACCAGAAATTTTACAAGTAATATATATGGGTTGGGTCAGATTTGCTTTTCCTGAGGAAAAAAATTATGGCCAAATGTGCTCAATTGATGTGAATGCAAGTTCATAATAATTCAATATCAATAGCAAAATTATTTCCATACTATAAAATATTTAATATTATGCCATAATATCCTTCTGGAAAATTCAGGGTATTCAAATGTCTTTTAATAATTTTGTTCATTTGTCTGACTTCTGAGTGCAATTTGAAAATTATTTTGTAGTTTTAAACATTGTAATGCCAACATTAAGCTAATTGAGCATAAACAGACAAATTAGAGAACACCCAAACATTCTTTCATGCAGACACCTTATGAAATTATATTACCTACTACTATACAAGGAGGTAACTCCAGATTTTTTTTCTCCACGTCTTTTCCTGGAAATAGAGAAGAAAAATGCACAAGAATATCTAACTCATAGCAGGAAAGCATTTTGGGAGACTTGTATTAGAAGTCAGGATCAGGCTAGTAGCCTGCACCCCGAGTGGAAGGACTTCTGGCTCTGTATAATATATATGTCATTCATGGAGCACAGGAGTTCACCAGATGCTTTTTAAGTGAGTGGCCCAAAACAAAAAGCATCAGAAGATGTTTTTAAGTACAGTAAATAAAGACAAGTATTTTCTCTCTCTCCCTAGAGGTATAAACCCAGCCTGTTCACTTGAAGGAAATACATTCTCTGCGAGACTTTTCTGTTTCAGAAAAGCAGATTCCTGCAGTTGTCAGCCTTGTCATTAATAGCATGTTACTATGGAACCAAAAGAAATAAGGATTCTTTTGCTGTTGTACCTGCAAAAAAACCCAGCCTAGTCATTGTTTTCCCTGTTTGAAAAGGGACACATAGAGAAGGACACTGGACTAGCCACTTATCTTTTCTCTCTGAAATTCTGATTAGGTAAATATACATTTTGTATATGCAAAATAATAGGATAAAATTCTAAATTTTCAGATAAAGCGCACCACATTTTTATTTCAACCCAGTATTTGCAAATGCATTTTCCCTCAACACCATTCCACGCCCTCAGGTTTCTGGAGTTCAATCCCAGCCAGAGATTTTTTTTCTTGACAGACCTTTCAAGATCTCCTGCATGCTGCTGATTGTAGCATAGCTTAATGGATAGTCACACTATGTAAATGCTGTTTAGTGTAAATCCTATAAGGTTAACTTGTTTTCTGCTGGGGTAATGACAGTCCTTCCAGAACATGTCATAGATGAGGTGGTGAGCTTAGGCAAGCCTGCAGTCCTCAGCAGACAGAGAATGTGATGTTCATTAGCATTAGGCGTAGTCTGTACTGCCAGATAAAATGTCAAAAGCCTGGAATTTTCAGTTCCCAACTCATATAAAGAACTGAGTAGTTGCATTTTAAAACAGGATTAGGCATTTATCTTCAGATTTATCACCTGAGTCGCAGTTTCATTAGTCAAAACCAAACTTCCTTCTAAGTGGAAGTCAATTGTGTTACTTAGACGTGGGAAAGTCTCTTGTGAATTGCTGTCCATAATTTAGACTGCATCACATTCCTTACAGCTAACACCAGTCACTGTCTCAACATACATATCAGACCATTGGTTTGACCCTTTAGTCTGGCAACAGAGAGTTCACTACAGAAATAATCCTTCCATTTTATCAGTTTGCAAAATTTAAGTGGAATTATTACTAATTTACTAGAGAAAAAAATTACTGATATAAGAAATTGCTAGAATTCAGTAACTTTTTAGATTTTTTCCTTAATATGGTATACAATATCACTCACAATAAACATGGCCACAGAAAATGTCTGAAAGACTGAACATTGGCTCTATGTGATGCAGAGACACTTCTCATAGAACTAGAGTAAGACATTTCAGACATCATTAACATTTTTATACTCTTACTTATTAAATTATTTTTCAGTACACCTATACAAATTAATACACTGTCAATTAAAGAGAATCAAGATTTGAAAAACTGAATAATTTCAATTGCCACTAAAAAGGAAATTACACAAAATAACATATGACAAACATGAGGCTAGGATGGCACCTCTCATAGTGTGCAGAATTGGAATCAGATAGAAGATGGTGAGGACCATACAACTTCTTATTTCAGCACCATCAGTGTTACAGTTTAAATCAGTGAAAAACCAGAGCTACAGCTATGAATAAGAGGGTGTCTGGTTTCCTTCAATATATGCATTAGATAGGCATCTGAAAGTCTTGGTAGTTGGCAGAAAGCAGGCAGTGGTGGTCAGAATTGTCTACTGTTCTGGTTTGAAAACAAAACCAATGAGAGACTCCAAATCAAAATTACAATTTATTAGGAAAAGTGAGAAAAGGAAAGAAAATACCTGCAATAAAACAAAAGCAAAACCACTGACAGAGTCAGAATATAAGCTGATACCCTTTTTGGTTACGGTGTTGGTAGCCATCCAAATTGGAATGGCTGCAGTCCTTCTGGAAACCCAGTGGAAAAGCCTGGTGTCCCAAAAACCCAAATTATATCCAGTTAGGAATGCTTGGCTCCCCCCTCTGGGTGGAGCATCTCACAATGGGATGCTGTAACTTTTATCAGTCATGCAGTGACATTCAATAGCCCATTATCAGTTGTTATGCAGCATGATGAAGTCAGTCTGTAGCTTATAGAACTTATTATCCCTAATAATGTGTTGCAAAATCTCTGGGAAAAAAAAAAACAACTCTACTATTTTGCATTCCATTTATGTTTATAACTGGTATTTTTATATTTTTTTTAGTTCAATTATGTCTTTCCTACACAGTTATGGTAAACTTTCCAAGGGAGGTTGCACAAGATCCAGATGCCGAAAAAACACGCTGGATGAATAAACACACCCCAGACTAAAGATCCTGTCTGAAAGCAAGGGAAATTGCAATATTCTCTCAGGAAAGTTGGTACAACAGGCCAGTTTTCTCTTATCATCTCCTTCGAAGACTGAACTACAGAAATTGTATTTACCATTACAGGGCAATGTAAAAGTAGCAACAAAGATAAGAGCATTCTTTCTGAGATAGACACATAAATGCACAAATAAAATTATAGGAAAGTGACACTTTTTTTTTTTTTGAAAGCGTCCTGCAAGGAAAATAGGAGTTTAATGGTACTTTGAACATAATGAAGAATGCTTTAAAATCTGTTAAATGGAATAGTTTTTCATATATGCAAAGTTAGCTGAATTCTGCAGCTGATAATTTTAATACATGCAGAGGCAAATCATGAGGGAAGTGGATGTACATATGCAGAATGGGGTGGCTTAGGATCAAGCCTAGTCACCAGAAGTATACAAATAAAACTGTATTTGAAAGCCTGAAACTTGCATCTTCATATATGTGCCAGTACACAAAGTACTTCTGTAAAAATGTATCACAAATTTAAAATATGTAATCAATTATTACAAGCCCAGAAAGTAATCCTAATGTTCACACAAGTTCTCTGCCAAAGCAGGTGGTTTTCTGCTTGTTTTTTTCTTCCATTGTTTTTCTTTCATTATTTCATCTCTTTATCTGTATGCGATATGGAGTCTCATTGCCCTCATTAGAGAAATAAATAATTTAAAATTCTGGGAAATCAGTTTACTGTGGCACATAATTAACTTTGCTAATAGAGAAGGAAACACACATGGCATCAGTTTTACTTCAGAGGGAGGAATGGTACAGATATTTACCAAATCCAGTCAATATGATGCAAAAATAATTTCACATAGTTTTGTATTTGACTCTACCACAGCAATTATATAAATGATTTTCACATGTCAAATAATGACCTAATTTGTGTAGAACTATGTGTTTCAAATAATGTGGAAAATAGTCTTGACTCTAAATTTGCAATAGTGATATGGTCCTTAGTTCTTTAGAGGCATTGAGCACTCATAGTACTTGAACCATTACTGAGGAGTACTGAAGGTAAATTACAATCCTGTTACTTTGTGAAGCTGCACTTCAAAGAAAGACATGAATTCAAGAGTATCATCATGGAAACAAGCTAAAACGACTGTAAGGAGCAGCAGCAGAGGTTGTCAAGTGCTGGGAATAAGGTTCTCCGCTATCCTCCCTCCTTCCTGTCCATTGCTCCTCTCTCCCAGTCATCCCCACTACAATTCCTGACTGCTTTCTGCTTGCCATTCCTATCTGCACACCTCTGTCTTTTCTGCTCCTGATGTCACTGACTCCAGCCATGCACTGGACGTGGCAGACATCCTCTAGTTTAATGCTATTAACTGGGCACCCTGGGGGTTCTGAACACGTGGAGAAGCCTGAAGGACTCCCCAGGAACTCCCCAGGGACTCCCCAGGGCCCAGAGCAGATCTTTGTTCAGTGCACACCCACCCTGACCACAACATTTCAGCAGGAACTGATCATGTCTGTGTACCCAACTGCATCCCAAATGGTTTACTCCTCAGAAGAAGGTGCCAAATTATAAACCAGGCATTCATGGTAATCCCATCTACAGAATACATATTAGCAGTTACCTGACTTGCTGAAAGCTAGTGTTTCCTAAGGTACTAAGTTGTATTATTTGTTATAATAGCCAATCCTATTTGCTTGCTTATATAAATTCTACCATGGAACAAACATTAAATACATTGTTAGGCCAGGTGCTGTTGGTTGCTACTCACATTTGAACTTTTCCTGTTTTTCTAGGACTGCCTATCAAGATACTTTATTTTAGAATTTGAACAAAAAGGAAAAGAGATTAAGTGGTACATCAAATATGTCTGAATCTGTAGCAAAAGCCTTAGAAAAAAGCATAGATATACTCAAACCATACCACTGAAGCATGGTCACCTTTTACATTTACAAGAGGAATGTCAATAATACAAGATATTTGTATAAACTGACATTAGAAATCATTGCTGGATTTATTTTTACTCATCTCTTATTACTATCATATATACACGTATGCATTTCATGAACAAAAAAAACAAACTATTTTTAATTCTTTCCTATTTTAGTAAAACATGAGACTTCTTCCAGGGCAATACAGCCTAATAATGGGAAGACAGTTAATGAAGGAGAAGCAATTTAAAAACGAAGTGGTCTGTAATGTCTGAAACAAATGCAGACATCAATCTAGCAGGGCACTTAAACTTAGAAGTACTTCACTGAATCAGGGGTTTAGGATGATAATTTAAATTATTGCAATTCAGAGTAGTGTCATTCAGAATTAGTAAGTACCTACTTACAAAGACAGTGATAAAATTAAGAACGTTCAGTGGCATTTTTTATTAATAATTTCTTGGTTTTCTCATTGTAATACAAATCAAATTTCAACTTGGGTCAATTCTTTAAGGATAACATGCTAAATGCTTTAAGAGACTGTGATCTGAAAAAGACACCGAACCTCAAATTATGATCTCAGTAGAGATACAGACAAGCTCTATTGCCTTGGGTGCATGAATTAATTTTTGTGATTCTGATTACTTATCTGTTCCATGGCTTTATATCACATTGGGAGAGTTTTAAAAATATAAACATATGCACATATGCTCCCTCATTAATCAGCTAGATTATAAAATACTTTGAAAATATAAGAAGTGTAAGTAAGATATGATAAAGGAGATATGATCTACCAAATCACTGGAATGTTAAGGAAAAAGCTGCCTTTTTCCCATTTTCTCTTCCTCTCCCACTTAATCCCCAGAGGTCCAGTTCAGACCAGAGCCATTGACAGTAATAAGTACCAGAATTTAAGAAATAGTTTCTTGATGTCTATTATGTAAAATAAAAATCAAACAATCCCTCTCTATTTATTTCGCATATATCTGCAGAATTATTCCTTCAGAGAAAGAATTATTTTGATGGACACGAACTGCGGCTTTTCTTGATACCCTTTAGAAATCTAATAGCCTGCATCTTACATCCTTCTGGTGAACTGCTCCAAGAAGCTTGCAGTGTTCAGATCTATATGGAGAGCAGACTTCCCTGAAATCCTCGGTAAGGCACACAGAAAATAAAGTTTAGTGGGATGGGAAGGGAGTGGCAGGGGAAAAGGTAAAAGTCCAGTAACGTGAAAGTAGCTAGCAGCCAGGAATTTATCCCAAACATTCATGCTGTGCCAACAGGAAGACTACCCATTTCATTTATCAGAAAGAGTAACAGCTTCATAAACCAACCACAACAGCAATGCTAACATTAAATCTGTTATGTTTCCAGTATTAAAGCAATTAGAAATGAAATATCACCTGTTCTTGCCCAAACCTAGCAGCCTCTCTCTGATCAAAGTGTCCTGGGTTACAACATGGGGTGTAACTGAGGTTTATATTCTACCACCATCTACATTACCTTCTGATGAACAGTTAAGGTGGGTGGAGCACGGTTTCTCTATCTTTGCCATGACTCAAGCATGGTAACTCCTTCTGGGGAAACAGCAGCCACCCTGAGGGGTCAGTCATCTCTGCTAATGGGACATCAAGGACTCCCCAGCATGACTCACAGAATCACATCAGCCCACTGTGAAATTCCCCCACCCTAGGGGAGGTACTGAACATTCCTGCCTCTACATAACCTGGAGTTTGGGACAGATGTACTGCTGCATCCCCAAGAACCACAAGAACTCTCCACCACTGGACCTCAGAGAAGGACCAGACCTTCCCATAGGCTCACTGCTTTGACAAGACCACATCCAATGGGACTGCAACCACCATTTGGACTGTTACCACCATGCTGACCAACAGGGTATCAGGTCGTGTTCTGACTTTATCAATTTAAACCAGTGTTTCTATACTATTGCCATTATTGTAATTTTCCTATTAAATTGTAGCCCTGACTTGAAATCTTTCACATAGCACTTGTGTGGGGTTCATTCCCTCCACTGGTTTACCTTCTACTCAGCACAAGCAGATACTTAAAAAACTTTCCAGACTATACTAAATAGCTTCTACTCTGCTTAGTGTGTGTGTCTTCAGACATGAAACACACATGAACAAGCACACTGAACCTACCCTCCCCCCATCTCATATGATTTAGGAGAACAGCATAAGGTTGCTGCTCCCTCTGCTTCACAAATCAAATTTTCTTGGACAGGAAAAGTATTTATGAATAAACCTGCAAAAAATATTTCTGGTTACATATAAAGGATATACCAATATTAGCAAAGCAGGCATTCAGTTTCATACAGAATTGCACACTGTCAAGAGATGTTTCAATTATTTACATATAAATATATAATACATAGTTCTCAGTATGTGGGACTTTGGAATTCACAATTGATCAACATTCTCCATCTAAAGTTCTTAGAGTTTTTTAAATTACATAAGATCATAGCTTACCTAGAAGGCAAGTAACTATCCTTATTTTGCAATAAAAGTACTCAGAGGAGAACCCATACTACCATTACCTACATCTCAGCTGGTGGCTCTAGTGTTCATTCATAATCAAGAACAGTCGAAAATGGATTTGTAGAAAGTTCTCAGGGCCTGACAGAAGGTCCACACAGCATGCATCAATATGCAAACTTTGAGACAAGACATACTCATTTAGAAATGCCATGGAATAGGACAGATATTGTTGAGAGAGAAATGAAACTAGAAACAAGTTTCAAAGGATGGCCTTGCAAATAAGAGTAGATACTTTGGACAAACAGAACTATGAAAGATGTATTGTAGTGGGACCCACGAGGGGTAATTTTAGATGATTTGCTTTAGGGCATCTACAACATGTCATGGCAAAAAGCTAGGCCAAGAAACACTTATAGTATATTTTAATTAGGAAATATCTGGCTTCTGATTGTGATGGTGTGAATTATAAACATCTGTATTGTGTCACCCTTCTCATGAGACTGAAAATGGAATAAAAGTTTTTAAAACACCTCTCAGTTGCCCCGTCTCTGGGTCAGGAAAAGGGTATTGTCCTATAAAGAACCATGTATATTCAAAAAAAAAATCAAAGACTTTAAGGTGTAATTCATGTGGTCAAATGTAGACATAGTCTTCAGAAGATAACCCTCCAAGGATTTGAAGTGGAGACTATGATGGAGAATGCCATATCCAGTCAGATGAAACCATTCCCTTTCACATGAGACACATTTCCTGCCTTTAGTGCAGTTCCCCACATGTGTGCCTTAACTACTACACTGCCACAGTTCACTGAAGCAGTCTTAGGAGAGGGTGGATTTCACTGCATGTATGTCAGTGGCTTGCTGGACAGCCTTTCTGCCATGTTCACTTGTTTATGTGCCTGTTTTCCTTTTCATCTTCTGTAAGCTTTTTTCAGGTGGGCAGTACTTGGCAAGAGTTCGCTTGCTAAGCATTAGTAAACACCCTACCATAACTCAGATCCTTTTTTGGGATCACTGTGTATTAGCATAATGAAAACAGCAGGAAGATAATAGTGCTGAGCAATCCTACTGCTTCAGCCAAAGAAAACAAACTTTCACAGCAACGCAAGATTAGAATTTTTGATCTTTACCTCTCCTCAAGCTCTCCATGATACTGAATTTGAAGAAAGATGTGTTACTTTTATTAATGCTAGATGCCGTTAAAAGTTAGATGCCTAGATCTATAATATACCTAATTTTTGTCTCTAAATCTGTTTCCCTGGTTTTGGTCTTATGGAGACCAGAAATAAATGTCCCTGAAGAATCTTGGAATAAACCTATGC